TTGGTGTAGGGAAGGTACCGCTGAAGCGAAGGATTGAGGTGGCGTGAATATTGACGGTGTGGTGACGCGGTAACAGTGGAAGTCAGTGGCGGTGACACTCATTGGAAAACATAGTGAGGAGGCGTTGTGGCAGGTGGTTGTGGTGAAAGAAGTGGTGTGGATTAATTATCGACAACTGGAAGACAACTGTCTCTTGACAGAGGGGCGTAATTTTATACGGCTTTCTTGAGTGAGTCGTTATTATCTTCATTTCAACGTCACTCAAGGTCACTTAAAGTGACTCAGTTCCCTTCGCACCTGAGTGATCTCACACTTGCTTTGACCTGTTTCACTGAATGTTCATTGAAAAAGGGAAGAGGATGTGTGTTCTTGCGTGTATGACTGGGAGTCGGACAATGGTGAAGGAATGCATGGTGGTCTATGTGTCGTTGGGTTTTGACCGCAGGTACGGCATGTGGAGTGAAATGGATGAGGGTGATGACGGTGAAAGAATGGTTGATTTTTTTATCTTTGTGCTTGTGTTCTATGTATAAATAAAATAAAAAAAAGACGACTAGAAACGAAGCGAGCACAAGGAAGAAAAGTTCAATTGAATTTAGACTTATCCCTGAGGTTACCCATTCTTTCCCGAATGACCCTTTTCCCGTCTATGCCTGTCAGTCTGAATGATTCTATATTTCTACGAATTCCTTTTTCTTCGTCCAAATTTACTTTTGACGTTAGGCGACAAGATCCTTCATGTCTGCCGTAGAGGTGCTTTCCCTTTTTCTAGGAGGCATCTGGGGCGGGGGTTCGTTGCCTTAGGGGCCGGCCCTGTTATCGACTCAGAGTGGACCACTTTGCGGGGGGGTACTATGCCGATTCGGTGGAGACGGCCCGACTTCTGAGATCCGAGATTTATACTCGGGTGAGGAGAAGGAGTATCCCAGACCACCTCTTAGGGTAATGGAAAAGACATCTACACGGAAGAAAGTGATTTCTTGAAGCCTTGCGTAAAAAAAAAACTGCTTTAGCACCCCTGTTTTAAGTGGTCATCTTAGGTACCACTGACGTATGGAAAGTTGGTGCCACAAGCAGCATGACTCATGTCCTACTAGCTGAACGGAGTACAGTTAGATACTCTTGACGTGGTTGGTCGTGTCATAAGAAACATGGGCCGTAAGGAAGACAAAAACCGAATAATACTCGAAGGCAAGAGTTTAACTTAAAACACATTTGTCTTTCTTTTTCTTTCAGATGGCTATGGGATCCACGAACTTGTTTCTTTTCAACGACCGCGATTCGGCGGCTGAAAGGGTCGAACTCCAAAGACGTAATGGAGAAAGGGTAGAGAGGATAGGCCAACTTGTTTACAATCCGTCAGAGCTGTACTCTGAGAAGGACGTTCCGCGGTTTTGGGATGGTAGTGCGCAAAGACCCCCCAGACGACTTATTTTCAGGAGACCGGCCGGCTTGGATGTTCTTCATTACGAGTTCGCGCCACCATTGCCCGAGCGTCACTTCGTCAATGTGAACTTGGTGGTATTGCAGCCATATGAGATCAATCCACGAGTGGACGAGATTGTGGAGATAAGGTTGATGTTCGTTCGATATGTGCTTTGGTTAAACGAACGACAAGGACCTTTCTTCAGTATATACTTCACAGAACGGGTGCGAGCCAATAGGTTCGCAATCATAGACATCGAGCCATTATATGATGATGAATTGGAGGCCGAGGCGGATGAAATAGAGGAATATCTACACGACTAATTCCGACTTTGTTCTGATACGCAGATGCCTGGAGCACGACGAGATTTGACAATCGCGAGGTACCTGCTGGTTCGCGATACGCCCGAGGAGGATCTCATCAGGAGTGCAGAGCGACTTTTACGAGTTCGAGATCCGAATGGATCGGCTTCATTGGATTGCTTCGAAATGGCGAGGGATTCTTCCCTAACACTCGCGCGGATTTCAGAGCCAACACGGCTCGAACTTCCGACGAGTTTTACGGTTATACTTTGTATTTCCACTGCGCGAGTAATCTCCAATGTCTCTCTCGAGTCATTGTGAGTATCAAGATTACCTCGTCCGATAGGCGTTTCGGCGTCGTCCGGATCCGGGACACAGAGACTCGTCACCTGTTTGGACTTAGTCGACCTCTCCGAGTTATAGTTTGGAGACTAGCCTTTCAGATGATCTCCTTCTATAATACTCGGATTATTAGAGTCATGCGATGTGGACGAATGTTTACTCCGATTTTCGAGGACAACGAGCTGGTGCGTTTGGATTCGTTGGAGGCACAGGTGCGCAGCGGGCAACAGATCTACCAGGATTAGACATTGTCTTCTGAAATCTTACTCCGATTTCATAAGACACCTCGCATGAACTCAATCTCGTTGAGGAAACCATATAATTTATGGCTTCACGAGGTAATCTAAAAACAAAAACAAAACACTTTATGTAGTTAGGACCGCCGGATGGATAGTATTCGGATTACCCCGATGATTTCACTATCATGCTTATGCATTGAGGGGTAATCGTTCGCATAAAAATAAGCTGGATAAAGTGAAAAGCGAACAACTGAAAAAGTTGTCAAGCGAAGCAGCGGAAAATGAAACATTTCTGCGTTGTGTAACTTGGTGTTGGAGATGGATACTCCATTATTCGTGGAACAGAAAGAGTAATTATAGCAACCAACAAAGTTGTCACTCGCTCCTCCAAGTAGTTGTATATGGTACGAAAACGTGGTCGAACCGAGAGTTCAAACATCGACCAGGAACCAAATCACTTGTTGATCTGCATGGTATCAGTGATATTTACTTGCAGAAGTTATTCATGACAAGTTTCGGTAGTCATGATAGGAAGATCAGTCTTAGTTTATTTCTATAATTAATAGTCTTGGAACGACAATATAAAAATTCTTTTAGTCATACAGGTTGAAAAGAGACACTTTGGCAGACCAGCTCATCAAGTCAACGATTTGGATTGTGTGATTTTGTTTTAAGGTATGGGGATTTTTGTTGTTTGATTGCTAGGGACTAAGGGTCGTTTTCACGTTTGATTAAGACTGTCCTAGTCGACCGGCGTACGCTTCGTACTTGGGAGATTAGCGCCCCAGGGAACGAACGACGCTCGGGTTCATTCGGCATTTAGTCAAACAGTTCCTATACTGCAGCGAGACGAGCAAACACCCTCGTCTGATCTACCTCTGCGATTGCATTTAAAAGCCTTCGCACGTGGGTCAGTAGCTCGGTAGGGATACGCCCCTAAGGGTGGTGACAACCCCTTAGGGA